ATAGGAATCAATAAGATCACAAATTCCAGACCATGAGCAGGTGATGATAAAGGAGCTGCAAATTGGGAATACCCAAAGCGAAGATAGGCTAATATTTTTTTTTTTAAACCTTATAACAATTCCTTTGGCCTACGGATAAAAAGAAAATTAGAATGTGAAGTCGGGGTATCATGGCTACATGACAAAGAAATCAAGAATAAACCCCACCATCCTTCTTCATAATTGCTGATAAGCAATCAAGTATGGAAATTAATTTGAAAATTAGAGGCTCGCCCAAAATTTGAAACTTCACTTGGAGGGTTATGAGAGGGGCTATTGCTGCAAGAGTAAATCTTAAAAAAAAAAAAAAAAAAACCCCTTATCAAACGCTCTAATATGTCCTATTGCAATAAGCAGGAGGAGTTCGTTGAACACATGCTCCTGCTTTGTCCATAAGTGGATTAGATCTGGTTCTGGGGACAACTTAATTACAAGGTGAATAAAAATGAGATTACAACTTTTGGGGAATGGTTAAATACTTTATTATGTGCTGATATGAGAAACAAAAAGGAGAAAGCAAAAATTATGGCCCAAATTGCTTGTACTTGTTGGCAAATATGGAAAACTAGATGTAATTTAATTTTCAATCATAAGGCTATTTTGCCAATGCAGGTTATACAGGCTATATCTTGTGCTTATTGAACATATTTGAAGGCTAAGAAGAGAATCATCAAAATCAAAATATTGGGACACAAAGAAAAGGGTGGTCACCTCCTGAACATCCTTCCTTTAAAGTACATGTTGATGCAAGCCGGAACTAAACAAGCTTGTGCAGGAATTGTGGTAAATTACTGGACAAAATGGGGAGAGACAACTCTATTACTATTTAATAAGAAAGTTAAAAAATGGACCTATAGTACAAGTTGTCAATTGATGTTGAACCCATAAGGTTATATATAGACATTTGCAACATAGTGAAGTACATTCACACGATATGACACAAGGTTCCTAGTTGAAACCTAAAATTTTAATAAACTCTTGTAAACATGATTTTTCATTGTGAAACTTGTTCATTTCAGAGGAGAACTATATATTATACAAAGGCTTATGAAATACCATAAGCGTATTTCCATAAGTAAATTCCTCAAGTATACATAGAAGCAAATTGCTTTGTATAAATTCCAAAGGAGAATGTGTCATGAAGTGTAGGAAATCTCTAAAGGATTTAAATTGCTTAAATTAAGTACTGAAAGGGTAAAGAAAAAATTATGTACTCAATAGCAATGAATGATATAAATTACCTTATTGAGTACTATCAATATGATATTGTGGCAACATACTAAATATCTTGCAAAAGTTGCTATTAGGATAAGAAATTACTGCTTGGTAGTGGGAGAACTTCACCGTTTTTTTTTTAACTAACGATAACCTCTATCCCTTTTCTCCCACATTATTATTATTATTATTTTAATATAATTTTGTTAGATATGAATATCTCCTCCTAAAATGGAGGAGATACGTTCCTGTTCATTTATTTTTTTTTTAAACTTTTTTTTCCAATAAAACAAATTTTAATTTTATGTTTAATATCTGTCTCCTAAAATGGATAGCAGTTACGTTGTTTTTGTTTAATATAATTTTGTTAGATGTTTTTAATATAATTTTGTTAGATATTAATATTTCCTTCTAAAATGGAGGAGAAGTTATTCACAACATTCCTGTTGTTTTATTTGTTTTTTCGTTTCCCTTTTTTTTTCAATATAACAAATTTTAATTTTTCTGTTTAATATCTCTCTCTCCTAAAATGAAGAGCACTTATTCACTATGTTGCTTTTTTTTTTTTACTTAATTTTTTAATATTTCTCTCCTAAAATGATGTTCAGTACAATTATCTCTGACTTTAATATCTCATCCTAAAATGGAAGAGTTATTCATCACGTCCCCTACTTTTATTTGTTTCTTTTTGTTTAATATAATTTTGTGAGATATTAATATCTCATCCTCAAATGGAGGAGTTACCCATCACGTCCCTTTACTTTTATTTGTTTTTTGTTTGTTTAATAATCTAAAATATAGCAAGAACCGTACTAATCAAAATGGAAGCATAAACATTCTATGAAATATTTATTAAAAATCATGCATCAAGAAATTAAGGTGAATAAAAGAGAAGAATAACTAAAAAAGAAACCCGGCTAGTCAAAAAAATTTTGAGGCGCTTTCCCATAGATATCTATTTAAAAAACCACACGATAAATGCTCATAGCAGTTTCAAAAATGACACCACATTCATCCTCTTCACTTCCAAATGGTTTTGCCATTTTAGTTTGGATTATCTAATTTTTTTCTATTTATTTTAATTTGTTTTATTTTTAATATTTTTTTGTTGCCTTTTTATTATTTATCTCTCTCTCCTCTCCATAACTACTAACTTTTAGATGATAATTATCATGATTTTTTTATTTTAATTACCATGTTTTGTTTCCAATACAGTTTCTGATAAGTTAAGTTCTTTTTTACATTTTTGCCCTCATTTTTTGGATTTTGATTGTAAAGGAAACACAGGGATATTCTTGACATTTTTTAATGCTTCACCATTTTGGGGCCCTCGCTTTATTTATCTATATAGATAAAAGAAAAGATGTTGAGGAAAATTCAAAGTTAGAAACAAATTTTGCTCTCACAAGCGGGAAGAGAGGTTCTCGTAAAAGAGGAAGCACAAACAGTACCAGTGTATTCGATGAATAGTTTCAAGTTCTCATTGTAATTATGTAGAGATTTTGATTCAACGCTAGCCAAATTTTGGTGGGAATAGAAAGATGAAGAAAGGAAAGTTCATTGGGTGAGTTGGAAATCTCTTGACTTACCTAAACAAAGTTCATTGGGTGAGTTGGAAATCTTTTGACTTACCTAAACAACAAGGTGGAATGGGCCCAGAATCTTCCGGAGTTTAATTTAGCTTTGCTTGCAAAGCAATGTTGGCGTATAATTCATAAACATGAATCGCTATGTGTCAAAGTACTGAAGGATAGATAGTTTCCTAATACCTCATTCTTGAAAGCTAAAAAAGGAAGCAGGGCATCATAGGCGTGGGCAAGCATTACGGAAAGAAGAGAGGTATTGAAATGTGCTAATTGGCAGGTGAAGGATGGTAATTCAATCAGATTATGGAAAGATTGGTGGCTGCCTTCACTACCAATGGGACATCCAACCCCAATTGAAGATACTGAAATTGACATAAACCAAAGAGTGAATTCTATAATATGCCAAGACACGGGAGAGTGGCAATAGGAATCAATAAGATCACAAATTCCAGACCATGAGCAGGTGATGATAAAGGAGCTGCAAATTGGGAATACCCAAAGCGAAGATCGGCTAATCTTTTTTTTTTTCAAACCTTATAACAATTCCTTTGGCCTACGGATAAAAAGAAAATTAGAATGTGAAGTCGGGGTATCATGGCTACATGACAAAGAAATCAAGAATAAACCCCACCATCCTTCTTCATAATTGCTGATAAGCAATCAAGTATGGAAATTAATTTGAAAATTAGAGGCTCGCCCAAAATTTGAAACTTCACTTGGAGGGTTATGAGAGGGGCTATTGCTGCAAGAGTAAATCTTAAAAAAAAAAAAAAAAAAAACCCCTTATCAAACGCTCTAATATGTCCTATTGCAATAAGCAGGAGGAGTTCGTTGAACACATGCTCCTGCTTTGTCCATAAGTGGATTAGATCTGGTTCTGGGGACAACTTAATTACAAGGTGAATAAAAATGAGATTACAACTTTTGGGGAATGGTTAAATACTTTATTATGTGCTGATATGAGAAACAAAAAGGAGAAAGCAAAAATTATGGCCCAAATTGCTTGTACTTGTTGGCAAATATGGAAAACTAGATGTAATTTAATTTTCAATCATAAGGCTATTTTGCCAATGCAGGTTATACAGGCTATATCTTGTGCTTATTGAACATATTTGAAGGCTAAGAAGAGAATCATCAAAATCAAAATATTGGGACACAAAGAAAAGGGTGGTCACCTCCTGAACATCCTTCCTTTAAAGTACATGTTGATGCAAGCCGGAACTAAACAAGCTTGTGCAGGAATTGTGGTAAATTACTGGACAAAATGGGGAGAGACAACTCTATTACTATTTAATAAGAAAGTTAAAAAATGGACCTATAGTACAAGTTGTCAATTGATGTTGAACCCATAAGGTTATATATAGACATTTGCAACATAGTGAAGTACATTCACACGATATGACACAAGGTTCCTAGTTGAAACCTAAAATTTTAATAAACTCTTGTAAACATGATTTTTCATTGTGAAACTTGTTCATTTCAGAGGAGAACTATATATTATACAAAGGCTTATGAAATACCATAAGCGTATTTCCATAAGTAAATTCCTCAAGTATACATAGAAGCAAATTGCTTTGTATAAATTCCAAAGGAGAATGTGTCATGAAGTGTAGGAAATCTCTAAAGGATTTAAATTGCTTAAATTAAGTACTGAAAGGGTAAAGAAAAAATTATGTACTCAATAGCAATGAATGATATAAATTACCTTATTGAGTACTATCAATATGATATTGTGGCAACATACTAAATATCTTGCAAAAGTTGCTATTAGGATAAGAAATTACTGCTTGGTAGTGGGAGAACTTCACCGTTTTTTTTTTAACTAACGATAACCTCTATCCCTTTTCTCCCACATTATTATTATTATTATTTTAATATAATTTTGTTAGATATGAATATCTCCTCCTAAAATGGAGGAGATACGTTCCTGTTCATTTATTTTTTTTTTAAACTTTTTTTTCCAATAAAACAAATTTTAATTTTATGTTTAATATCTGTCTCCTAAAATGGATAGCAGTTACGTTGTTTTTGTTTAATATAATTTTGTTAGATGTTTTTAATATAATTTTGTTAGATATTAATATTTCCTTCTAAAATGGAGGAGAAGTTATTCACAACATTCCTGTTGTTTTATTTGTTTTTTCGTTTCCCTTTTTTTTTCAATATAACAAATTTTAATTTTTCTGTTTAATATCTCTCTCTCCTAAAATGAAGAGCACTTATTCACTATGTTGCTTTTTTTTTTTTACTTAATTTTTTAATATTTCTCTCCTAAAATGATGTTCAGTACAATTATCTCTGACTTTAATATCTCATCCTAAAATGGAAGAGTTATTCATCACGTCCCCTACTTTTATTTGTTTCTTTTTGTTTAATATAATTTTGTGAGATATTAATATCTCATCCTCAAATGGAGGAGTTACCCATCACGTCCCTTTACTTTTATTTGTTTTTTGTTTGTTTAATAATCTAAAATATAGCAAGAACCGTACTAATCAAAATGGAAGCATAAACATTCTATGAAATATTTATTAAAAATCATGCATCAAGAAATTAAGGTGAATAAAAGAGAAGAATAACTAAAAAAGAAACCCGGCTAGTCAAAAAAATTTTGAGGCGCTTTCCCATAGATATCTATTTAAAAAACCACACGATAAATGCTCATAGCAGTTTCAAAAATGACACCACATTCATCCTCTTCACTTCCAAATGGTTTTGCCATTTTAGTTTGGATTATCTAATTTTTTTCTATTTATTTTAATTTGTTTTATTTTTAATATTTTTTTGTTGCCTTTTTATTATTTATCTCTCTCTCCTCTCCATAACTACTAACTTTTAGATGATAATTATCATGATTTTTTTATTTTAATTACCATGTTTTGTTTCCAATACAGTTTCTGATAAGTTAAGTTCTTTTTTACATTTTTGCCCTCATTTTTTGGATTTTGATTGTAAAGGAAACACAGGGATATTCTTGACATTTTTTAATGCTTCACCATTTTGGGGCCCTCGCTTTATTTATCTATATAGATAAAAGAAAAGATGTTGAGGAAAATTCAAAGTTAGAAACAAATTTTGCTCTCACAAGCGGGAAGAGAGGTTCTCGTAAAAGAGGAAGCACAAACAGTACCAGTGTATTCGATGAATAGTTTCAAGTTCTCATTGTAATTATGTAGAGATTTTGATTCAACGCTAGCCAAATTTTGGTGGGAATAGAAAGATGAAGAAAGGAAAGTTCATTGGGTGAGTTGGAAATCTCTTGACTTACCTAAACAAAGTTCATTGGGTGAGTTGGAAATCTTTTGACTTACCTAAACAACAAGGTGGAATGGGCCCAGAATCTTCCGGAGTTTAATTTAGCTTTGCTTGCAAAGCAATGTTGGCGTATAATTCATAAACATGAATCGCTATGTGTCAAAGTACTGAAGGATAGATAGTTTCCTAATACCTCATTCTTGAAAGCTAAAAAAGGAAGCAGGGCATCATAGGCGTGGGCAAGCATTACGGAAAGAAGAGAGGTATTGAAATGTGCTAATTGGCAGGTGAAGGATGGTAATTCAATCAGATTATGGAAAGATTGGTGGCTGCCTTCACTACCAATGGGACATCCAACCCCAATTGAAGATACTGAAATTGACATAAACCAAAGAGTGAATTCTATAATATGCCAAGACACGGGAGAGTGGCAATAGGAATCAATAAGATCACAAATTCCAGACCATGAGCAGGTGATGATAAAGGAGCTGCAAATTGGGAATACCCAAAGCGAAGATCGGCTAATCTTTTTTTTTTTCAAACCTTATAACAATTCCTTTGGCCTACGGATAAAAAGAAAATTAGAATGTGAAGTCGGGGTATCATGGCTACATGACAAAGAAATCAAGAATAAACCCCACCATCCTTCTTCATAATTGCTGATAAGCAATCAAGTATGGAAATTAATTTGAAAATTAGAGGCTCGCCCAAAATTTGAAACTTCACTTGGAGGGTTATGAGAGGGGCTATTGCTGCAAGAGTAAATCTTAAAAAAAAAAAAAAAAAAAACCCCTTATCAAACGCTCTAATATGTCCTATTGCAATAAGCAGGAGGAGTTCGTTGAACACATGCTCCTGCTTTGTCCATAAGTGGATTAGATCTGGTTCTGGGGACAACTTAATTACAAGGTGAATAAAAATGAGATTACAACTTTTGGGGAATGGTTAAATACTTTATTATGTGCTGATATGAGAAACAAAAAGGAGAAAGCAAAAATTATGGCCCAAATTGCTTGTACTTGTTGGCAAATATGGAAAACTAGATGTAATTTAATTTTCAATCATAAGGCTATTTTGCCAATGCAGGTTATACAGGCTATATCTTGTGCTTATTGAACATATTTGAAGGCTAAGAAGAGAATCATCAAAATCAAAATATTGGGACACAAAGAAAAGGGTGGTCACCTCCTGAACATCCTTCCTTTAAAGTACATGTTGATGCAAGCCGGAACTAAACAAGCTTGTGCAGGAATTGTGGTAAATTACTGGACAAAATGGGGAGAGACAACTCTATTACTATTTAATAAGAAAGTTAAAAAATGGACCTATAGTACAAGTTGTCAATTGATGTTGAACCCATAAGGTTATATATAGGCATTTGCAACATAGTGAAGTACATTCACACGATATGACACAAGGTTCCTAGTTGAAACCTAAAATTTTAATAAACTCTTGTAAACATGATTTTTCATTGTGAAACTTGTTCATTTCAGAGGAGAACTATATATTATACAAAGGCTTATGAAATACCATAAGCGTATTTCCATAAGTAAATTCCTCAAGTATACATAGAAGCAAATTGCTTTGTATAAATTCCAAAGGAGAATGTGTCATGAAGTGTAGGAAATCTCTAAAGGATTTAAATTTCTTAAAGTAAGTACTGAAAGGGTAAAGAAAAAATTATGTACTCAATAGCAATGGATGATATAAATTACCTTATTGAGTACTATCAATATGATATTGTGGCAACATACTAAATATCTTGCAAAAGTTGCTATTAGGATAAGACTCCTGAAGAGTCTAGAAAAATATAAAGTATTGAAAGGAATATTGTCTTGAGCTTTAGATCAAACCATATACCAACCCGGTTCTTATCAATCAAAATGTTTGTGACATTAAAGAACCATATGGATTGAAAATTATGAGTTGAACACTCAAATGATTAACCAATATTTAGACACTATGAAAGATCATTGATTCTCGTGAAGGAAACGATGAGTTGATATTTGATCCAGAAGTACCATATCTTAGTGAAGTATGTGCCTCACTGTATCTAGTAAGGTACACTAAATCAATTGTCACATTTCCTATGAAGCACAATACCAACATATGAGTTTTAAGAATGAAGTAAAGTTTATCTATTTATATCTCCAAGAAATTATAGAAATGTGCTTGTTGTAGTCAAAGAACTCGCTAATAGCCATGATCTTATTTGGCAAACAAAATTTAAATATCTCTCTAGCCTACATTCAAATCGTTCTCAGAAAAGATTTGTATTTACAAATACAAACATATTGATCCTACAACAATCAAGAAAGCAAGCATTCATTGCTACATCTTCATATCACTTAGAAATACATTTGTTTAATAAAGACATGTGACCCATTAAAATTTGGAGCGCATGTGATCCGCCTTCAAAAGAAAACGCTCCAACTATCATGCATGGTATTAGATTATATCAACTTTTTAATCAAATAGATTAAAGAATTCGAAATTAGAGGGAGATACCCATCAGGGGATACATCCAAAACAGATCAAGATTTAGTAGATGACTTCATGCCTATGCAAGCAATGGCATCATGCATGTGTAAGCAATGATGTCATTACCTATTCATTTGCCTATATAATGAAGGCCAAGGCCACTAGCAACAAAAAAGAAATGGAAAAGAGAACATGAAAGAGGAGAGAGAAAAGAGAAAAGAAAAAAAAAGAGAAATATAACAGTAAGCTATAAGGCTAGAGATGAGAGAAAAATAGTGAATGTTATCTTTGTACTCCTATTATTTTAGATAATGTGGGAAAATACTACTACTGCCCTAAGGATGCAAGCACATTTGCTGAACCTCGTAAATATTTTGTCTTAGTTACTTTATGTTCCTCTGCACACATATTCCCAATTTCACAACAAATTCTTGATTCTTGTTAGTTTTTTTTTTTTCTTCAAGAACGGGGAATATAATCCAAAATGAAAATAGGAGGCTTATCAAATACAAAACTGCTAATATTCATATTAAAATTCCAGTTAGCCCGACTAATCCGTCACAATATTTTTCTCTTTGTAAATGTGTTTCAACTCACACCTTCTTAGTTATCTCATCATTAATTTGTAGTTATATATGCATAACTGTGTCCAGAGAATGAAAATTATCAACTTTGGTTTGCTTCAACAACATAACAATAGCCTTGGAATCCATCTCAATGCTAAGATCAGTAACACTTATCAAAAGCAAGTTGTAAACCAAAGTATAAACTCCATAGTTCAACATCACAAACCCGTCCTTGCTCCAAATGAACAACAAAGCCTCCTAACCAAAGGCATTATGATCCATCCACGTTTAGCTTACAACAACCTACATTAGGAAGATACTAAGAAAGTGCAATTTGTCTCTTCACATGTCACGCCCCAATCCCGACATACGTCCAGAATTGACACGTGACGACACCAAAAATCCGTATCTATCATATCCCACCTCCGGGATATGGCCAAGCACAACCCAATAATCGAACCACATAGTTATTTTCGTATGCTTTATGGCTGCATCTAACCTCCCCGTTAGACTGCCTACATACCCTAAACAGGGATCAAGCCATTCGTAGTTCGTCATACACAATAATGGACATATAACACAGTCCGATTAAGTCGAAAGGTATAACATTTCTCATTCAATCAATAGAACTTGACAAGCATGAAAATGCTAGACACAAGGTTACATAACAACCCATCTGAAAATCATGATTTCCCCTCCAACACTATATAGACCATTATGTCACAACATGATACCGCAATTCACAACATATATCATTTCAAGAACCAACGATGTACAATACCATTCTCTTGCCACATTTATCAACAAGTCTAGTCATAACCATAACCATGGTATCCAACATATCAATCCCACATGACGATTTCCTTTTCCACTCCAACCATCACATAATTCATCACGTTTTCCACATAAAATTGCATTTCATAGTATGTAACATAGTTAAGAATTAACAAAGTACACATTAATCTCTAGAAGTATTAATCAACTAAAATACTCATGATAACCCCACTCATATTCAACTTCATTCCATAATCACATCAATCAATAATGTCAACCATCACATCATCAACAACACATACAACAAGTCGAAGCGTAAGTCTAGAGCAACACAATTCAGTTGAAGACTACATCCTTGGAAAAAGGGAAATTTTGGACCACCCAACGGAACCAAGGCATCAAAGGGGATTCCGGACCATCACTCCACGGAATCCAAACAGAACTCAGCTCCAGTCCACCCAACCGAATTTAACGAAAGTCCAAGAAACATAACAACGGCTCGAAGGAACATGACATGATTCAAGCTACTCAATTCCCAAAAACTCAACGAAACGAAACAATATCGAGTGACAAATCCACATCACAATGGGTTATCGGCCAATTACTTGACCTCACATCTCTCAAGCAATTCAATATGCATTTCAATCACATGTCACAACTATTTCCAATACACTAGTCACATCACATTTCACTTCATCTTACTAATCACTATACTTCCAACATTATATTTCAATACATAGCTTGTAACACATCAAGGAATTACGAAGTACAATATTTACATTTAATTACGTTAATCAATCAATGAGATAACATATCATTTCACGAATTTAATTAAAGAACTCTACATAATTCCCAATTTGGGTTAAGAATAATAACATGGTAATTCTAATTTATTTTCACAATATCTATTGTGGGTAATTCCCATCTACTCGAATTTAGGATTCTAAATCGCCTTACGGAATGAACAAGAGCAAGGATTCCGGACCACTCAACGGAATCCAACAACATTGGGTTCCGGACCACTCAACAGAACCAAAATATCAAGCGGTTTCTCATAATCTACCCAAACCTGTCATATGTAAAGTCAATGCCAATATTATAGAATTGGTGCACTGGTAATTCAGGCAATCAGATAAGCGGAGAGGCTCGGGTGAGGGACAATAAAATAAGCATGTGATACGATAATAAAACCAGCCGTCAATCATAATTTATAAACCTTGAATATAAATCTTTCATAAGAAATCAATACCAAACTTTTGAAAACTCCGAGGAAGTCACCCAAACATCCAAAAGTTCATTTCAAACAACCATAACATCTCACATCCATATTCACATACACACAATCATATTCACATACACACAATGAAAGTAGAAGTAGGGCGACACAGTTCATCCAAAGCCTACACCTTTGCAACCATCTCAAACTAAACTCAATGAACTAAGGTGGATACAATCCCGGACCATCACTCAACGGGATCGCGGAGTAAGAGGGATTCCGGACCATCACTCAACGGAACCCAAACCAAGATACGATTCCGGACCATCACTCAACGGAATCGCAGAGTGGAGTAGGAAGGATTCCGGACCATCACTCAACGGAATCCAAACCATGATACGATTCCGGACCACTACTCAACGAAATCGCGGAGTAAATTGCATAACCACCAATCAATGAAACAACACATGAATCAAGTTACTCAAGTTATAAAGGCTCAACGAAACAAGAGATGAAATAATGAAACGAGCATTGACACATGTTTCAAAACAACAAACCCCATGACAATGGGTTAACGGTCCACCACTAGCCCTCACCACATCATATCAAGCCAATCATACAAAACAAACCATATTTCCAATATGCACGTCGAATCCCACTTCATATAACTATATGATTGGCTAAATATGAAAATTAACAATTTATAGGAAAAATGATTATAAAACCATTTCATATTCACATATCTTAAATTCACTCACATTTCATCATAACATACCATCTATGTAAATCAAACACCTTTCGAATATGCACGTCAATTCACATATCACGATCATCATCAGTACATAAGCCAAATCATGTTTGATAAACATAGGTCTATGGCTAAATATATATAAATATATATAATCACATTTCAATAGAATCACATTATAAGACCAAGTAAAATTCACAGATGATATCAATATAAGAAATCAAGATAATAACCATACCACATATGTTCAAGTCATTCTCTAACCAATGTAGACCCATTAGACTTCACTTAAGTCTCCCCTAGTACTAATTTTATTATTTAGAACGTTCCGAGACATGTTGACCACAATTCAACTCTCGGTCAACGATGGGGTCCACAACAATCCGCAAATCAAATTTATGATCCATAACTTCCTAAAGTCCACATTATGCTTCGAGGATAACATACTAAAGTTTCATTATGATCCAATGGTCGAATTGTCGTCAATCACACAAACAAGTGGCGGTCCAAATTGATCACCACACCCAACAATTGAATCTTTGGCAACCAAGTTAGACCTAGGTTCACATGATCACTAGAAGGTATTTGAAACCTAGACAACACTCGTGAACGATCCTACGCACCTCCACACGCGGTGGAAGTCAAGGTGGAGGGTTTACAAACCCCGAATTTCAACATTAACTAGATTGGCTCAAATTTACATGGTAGCTAGAGTTCAACAAGGGAAACACTTTTCACAACTAGGCCGACGATAAATTCTAACCGGAAACCGTCCAATTTCACCGGAGAAAACCGAATTTCTAGGTGTTCTAAACACCCAACTCCAAAATGAATACAAAAGCACCAACTAAGCATACCAACTTGAAGATTATGAAGAGTAGATGAAGTTTCATACCTCACTCGAAGGAAATCGTTGCCGGAATCGCCGGAAAAATGATAAAACCGCCGGAAAAGTCGTGGACTTTGCGACCTCGAGCTGCAAAGATGGAAAGGAAATGGGGAAATCTAAAATCACAGAGATGTAGAGCTCGGCAAGAGCTTTCCAGGGACACCAAGATCATCCAAAACGGAGTTCGGATGAAAAAGATACAAGCGGGTCAAGTTTGGTGGGTTTATGGGTCAAATTTTCCCCTAAAACGGTTTTGGGCGGTTTCCATTTCCCATTTTCTGAAATCCCCCCCCATTTATAGCATTTTGGTAATATTACCAAAATGCCACCAACTTCAAACGACTCTAACTTCTCCGTTCGGACTCGGAAATAAGATCTGTTTACGCCTACGCGCTCATGGAATCAAACTCTACCTAACCAATTCAAGAGTTGACCAAAACGGTCGAGAAAATTGGAAATGACTAAAGTACCCCTCACTTCGTTTTCTTAAATTTGGAGAAATAAAGAACTAGTTCCAATCAAACCTTCGAAATACGTCAAGAATAAAATAAAATAAAAATTTTGGGGACGGGATATCACATCACATGTTTAACGAAAGAATTTACAAAAGCCTTCATCCATTCAGCCACATCTCTTACAATGTGTTGACCCTAAAAATTACAAAGCCTACGCGGCGCGCAGGCCGAATAACTAATAAGCTAACTAAGTCCTTCGGTTGAATGCAGGGCGTGCCAACTCGTCGGCCAAGCTCGGCCGACGAGTAAAATTTGTTGATGTTGCGTTGAGAGCGTTGCTGACTTCTTTATCTTGTGACTGCGGCCGAGGAAGGAACAAATCTCGGCCTTTGGATTCTCGAGCCTGAAGACAAGGCTACTAGTTCTGCGAAGTTCAATATCAAATTCAGCTCTCAGGATGCTGAATGTAGTAACCTGATAACACCTCACTTCGCCGAGAAGGCTAATGAGATGACCTCTGCCAATAAAGATTCGAAAATCCTTCTCGACCGAGACTTGGATAGATAACCAGTCGATCTCGACGCAGTGCTGTTTATCCAAATTGAAGGTGCTTCGGGAACGGCTGATTCTACGGCAACAGTGCTGTTTATCCAAACTGAAGATGTTTGTCAGTTGCCTTCACAATGCTGTTTATCCAAACTGAAGATGTGTTGGCGGAAAAAAGAAAATAAAAAAATCTCAAGATGTTTGAAAGGTTTTACGCAGGACAATTGTATGTTGAATTGAAGGTCCACGTTGCCTTTTATTTATAGTACTGATATACTGGCTTTGGCGGCTGACACTTGTTGGATACCTGTTACAAAATCCAATCGTTTTCAAACTCATAAAGAAATTTACGTTACGCAGGCCAAAGCCCATGCTTTAGTCATACCATCTCACGCAAACTGAAGCCACGTGTTCATTTGCAGCAACCTGATATACTGTGATTTTATCTCCAAGTCTTGCAAGTGTTGTCATTTGACTAAAACTCTTAGCATCCTGCCAAGGATATTCGGTCCCACCATCATAATCTTTTATCTCTTCATGCATGGTAAACCTCCTGCTGCATCACGTCACTATTTCCATGTTCCTCTAAAGTCTGAAACCTTTCATCCAAATGGTTGGCTTTCCAAACAAGATAAAAGCCCATCTTGACTTATCCCATCGTAATTAAAAACCTAGCCTAGCTAGGCTTTCTTTTCTTATCATAATTCTATCACTCATCCATACATCCTGATCCCATTTAATGAATTTCAAACCATTTAAAATTCATTTCTGACTACTTGTCAATCAACCTAACCTACTTAGGCTTTCTATTCACCATTATCCAAAATTTGCAGATCCATACTATGCCATGTGATAAGATCCCAAGCCGAGTTGCTCTAATCCACATGGTACACTGCTAACAAATCCAAATTAAATCGGATTGTTCTACTTGCTTCTACATTGGGACTATGATTTTTATCCCATTTATTTTGTATAAGAAAATTTGAGATAACTTATTAAAAGATAATTATTATGATTAAAAACCATAACATTATCTCAAAACAAAATTATCTTAACTTTCTTATCCGACGGTCTAGAATCATGCTTACTCAACGGCCTCGATTGCACGGGCCGATGGTGTAATTTTAGGTCCAAACACAATGATCGCTTTTTTGGATCAACCGGCGTGAAAAATTTGACATAAAAAATCTGCTTCTCCATTTCCAAATATGCCAACATACAGTCCTTAAAATCAAGATTCTGGGCTTTCCTCGGTTTTCTTGAAACTCTCATAACTTTCCAAATACACATAGGTATGGGACAACCTTTGAAAATATAAAGTATTACAAGAAAGATTAGAAATTAAATTTCTTCTAACTCACTGCTCAAAGATAAAGTAATTTCCCTTTACTCATCAACCAAAGAAAAACTTTTAGCTTAGGTCGAACATTAATTTTCCATATAGAATCCACAAGAAGTATCAGACCAATCCCCTCCGTTAAGAAAAATGTTATAAGTTGACTTGACCGTGGAAACTCCATTAAAAGCACATACCCAAATAATTTTATCCACACCTGCACCAGTAGTACTAGCAGACTAACACATAATTTTTTTAACCATATCCTCTGGCAACATATATCTGAGTTATTAAAATTCCACCAACCATTATTTAAAAACTCTGAGACAACACAGTCACCATTGGAGACATTAGCCAATTAGAGGGACATTCAAAACCCATATATCCTTCCAAAACTTCACTCTCTCACCATTAGCATTCTGCAAATCAGGCATTTTTAAGAAGATTAGCTCCATACAGAATCTCTTTCCAAATAAAAGAACATTCGGTTCTTTGATGAATTTTGAGGTTTAAAATGGAAGAACCTTTCAAATACTTGACTTGATAAATTTGAGACCAAAGACCAGTCTCCTTAGGATGAATTCTCCACCCTAACTTGGCCAAAAGAGCCTACTTCATTACACTAGCTCTTAATCCCCAAACAATAATGTCACCATGAGGCATCCATTTCCTATGCAAGAAAGTCTTACCTGCCAATTCATTCCAAATTCCTGTTGAGAACCAGAAAAATGAGTTTTAATGAAAAGGGCTTGTGCTAAGTTTAATTTAACAAAAAACCACCATAAACTATTATTTAACCAAAAGAGCTTCATATTTAATCATAGACAAAACTAATTTATATGAGGCCCCACAAATGTTGAACATACATGGGCTGAGTTAAAAGCCCAATACGAAAATAAGTAAATGTCCAACTCTTGCCCCTGATGGAAAACCAATTCCGTCAGCCAATTCCGTTAGAAATTATGTGACCGGAACAGGCAGCCATTGGGCATGTAATCATACACCAACAATTTCTCCTCCCTGGCGAAGTAATAAGCCCTCAAGCTCACAATGTTGGGATGGCTGAGTCGCCCCAGCACCGCCATGTGCTGCTCGAACTGAGTCTTCCCGCCAATCTGAGCATCATTGAGCCTCTTAACCGCCACCACATTGCCATCGTAAAGAACCGCCTTGTACGCCATCCCGAACCCGCATTTCCCCAACATCTCCACGGAGGCTCTGAGCAAGTCCTTGAGCTTGAAACGCTTCACTCCTTCGAAGGACACCATCCGACCCCGCTCGAACATGGGTTGGCCGAGTAGGGGCTCGACCAGTACACGATCTTCTCATTTTCGCGCTACCACTTCAGTGAGGATTTCCCGATTTGTACGGCGTTCGCAGGCAATGAACTCGGCGACGTGCTATGATGGTTGGTTTAGCAGCAGGCATTACAGGAGATGCAATGGCTGCGTCAGATCTGGGTTGGGTCGGGTCGTTTGATGAACCCTTACAGCTCTGCACGACCCGCATAGACCCGGGTTTTGAGCGAAAGCGTTACGGGGAAAATCGAAAAAGGCTTGGGTATTTCGCCGGTCAAACGGTTCGCAGCCACAATGAGGTCCTGCATATTCGGCAGGCTCAGAGGAGACAACCAGATTTTCAGTAATGCCGCTTTGCCGAGTGTGTCTGTGATGCCATTGTGTAGTGGGTGCAATGGAATTGGGGATCACGGAGGAGACAACCAGATTTTTAGTAAGAGAAGATGGACGATTGTCTTTTTATTTTTTCTTAATTGTTTAAAAAACATTTAAAATTATACCTAGAAAAAGAATAGTGGAGCTTCCAAGATCTGCTGCCCATTATTCCTGTCTGTTTTTAGACTCACCTAGAGAAAGAGAAGGTTAGGTGCTTTGATAGGGAATGGTAAGTATGCTAGTTGTTTGTTGGTGTGCACTCTCGATAGATATTTTTTTTATGAATTAGTGCGACATGGCAAATACACACTTGTAACAGAAAATAATGCGTTTGTCACGTTTGTTTGAATAGGAAGATGGTTTGGTTTTCTCTATTTTAATCGGGAAATGACTTTTATGGTTTTATTTCTGATTTTTAGATTGAATAAAGTTATAAAGAATGAAAGTATAGAATGCAGGAGAAGAACTCTAATTTTTAGATTGAATAAGGTAAAAGAGAATGAAAATATAGAATGCGGAAGAAGAAAAAAGACGTATAGAACATGGGTACACTAACTATTTATGAAACTGAACACGAGAACACTATTTTTGAAATTGACTATTTATGAAACTAAACATGAGTACACTATTTCTGAAAAACTAAACATGGGTACATTAACTAAACACGGGTACACAATTTCTAGAATTGATTACACTATTTCTAAAACTAACTATACTATTTATAAAACTGACTATTTATGAAACTGAACACAAGTACACTATTTCTGAAACTGACTATTTATAAAACTAAACATTGGGTACACTAACTAAACACGCGTACACAAATTCTATAACTGACTACACTATTTCTGAAACTAACTACACTATTTATAAAACTGACTATTTATGAAACTGAGTACGAGTACACTATTTATGAAATTGAACACATGTACACTATTTCTGAAATTGACTATTTATGAAACTGAACCGGAATAATACAGATAATATATAGTATAATTTATATATAACAAATATAGTATTATAACGCGTTAATTGAATGAAATCAAATTGCGAATATAATTTCATGGATTTACAAATCAAATGCAACTAAGACTATTTATGAAACTAAACCAACACTATTTATGAAACTGAGCACTACTTATGAAACCGAAATAGCACTATTTATGAAACTGAACACTCTCATATGCAAGCTTTTCGGACATCTTATTGACCTCTTCCTTGAGACTCAGAAGTAATTGCCTCTGGCAGTCCATAGCTGACCTCTCCTTTAAATCTCTGCAACATTCTTTTCTTGGATAATCTTCTCCTGTTCCAAATCACTAAGGACAGCAAGATAAGCCTTCTCCACCTCAAGACCACGGGTTTTCTCTGCATTCATTTTCTCATCCCAAAACTTTTGACTTCTTCCCTATCGAGCAATTCGGACCTGATAACTTCCATCTCAGCTTTCCTTGCAGAATACCAAGACAAATCCCATAAGGAAGGAATTGGAGAAGGCAAGAAATCAGTCGCTCTCTCTCCTCAATTTAATTATGCAGCTGCTGCACATTTTCCAATCCCTTCCTTGAGCCACACAAAGTCGAAACCAAGAAACTTTTTCATGAGTAAATATGCCTCAGTTGTTGTTTGGCTTGGTTTAACGAGTAATACATTTGGTAAGTAAAGAGTAGATAATGTAATCAAGCCTAAGAAAAAGGGGGTTCAAAGGATACAAAAATATTCCCGCAACAAACTCGTTACCTCAAGCGCAAATATAATTCTATACTTCTCATTTAAAAAAAATGAAAAACTAATGCTTCGTGCGTATTCTGTACTAGTTTTGTTATAAATTTGAGACATTTGACATTTTGGGTATTTTCCTTTTCATTGCTTGTGTGTTTCTCAATAATTTCCCCCAAAATGTTCGGTAAAAAACAGCTCAAAGAAGCAACTTTCCTAAGGCGAAAAATTGGGGCATCATTTCGACTTCACGCAAAATTTCCTAGATCTGCCACCGTATACTATATTTCTGTTTAACATTCCATATGCTTGCTCCATAAATGAGTACCAAGGAAGAAATTCCTTCGAGATTTAACCACATTGTACCAATAATCATGATCCGAGTAAAAACTAGCTAACCATGAACATGTAGAAATGCGCGCGCACATATATAACACGAATAATACGAAACCTACTGCATAACCTTAAGAAAACAAAATGGAGTACCTGAAGGGGAGGTGTAGTGCTCTCAAACGGAAAAGCATCAGGCTTGTTAACAAGAACATAAGATTTAGTCCACAAACAGCTCAACCCACACGGGCACGAATACAAATTATCCAAATTATCAGTAATCCAAGTCCACCCTTTCACCCAACATGCTAACATGCTCCAGTTTTGTCTCCCCGCATTCTGATTTGCAGCGAATTTGTTGCAGAACTACAGCTGCTTGTGCTTCTCTTTGAAACGGAGCAACCCACTTCGGCATCCCACTTCCTGATTAAATGGGTAAACGGGTCGGGTGCGGAATTCGAGGAAGCTGCATAAGAAGAGGATCGAGAATGCGCCGCTCATCATGAAGGCAATGCTGAAGGAGTTGAAGGGCTTTAATTGCATACATGGGTTGGTTCCAATCGGCGGCAATTTTAGCAGTTGTTATCTTTCTCCTCTCTTAAATGATCCAGCTATGAGATTTTCAAATGCTTCCCAAATTATAGTTTCATGGCATGAATAAACTAACGGACAAATAACAAACAGAAAAAAATTGAAGTCGTCAGGGGTAAAATTGGAAACATGTTAGGTTATTTTTGCTGGGCCATGTTGATTGGACTGATTAAGTATTAGGCTTTGTCGTAATCATTAAATAAACTTATTTTATGGTTTTTGGTTAAAGTTTGAAGTTTTAAAACTTTTTTTATTAATTTTCTTGAGAAAAAACGAGGAGAGAGTTTCACTGTAGAAGATATTCTTCTTATACAAGCTTGGCTTGCAACTAGCATCGATGTTGTGCATGGAAATGACCAACGAAAAACTACATATTGGGGTCGAATGGTTAAGTATTGCATGAAGTACAAGACATTTGAAAGAGGGCGAGATGATAGATCACTAATCCAGCGGTGGGGAACTATTAACCATTATGTTAACATTGGCTTGCTGAAGAAATGAAGTCTTTCAAATGGACTAGGAATGATCTCAGTCTGACCTTGGTTTCCTTATTTGAAATGAAGTCTTTCGATTAGACTCAGCGCATGAAAAACATTTAAAACATGTTTGGTACTATACTTGAATCAAACTTTTTAAACTCAAAAATAATTTTCAAGTTTTAAACTTAAAAACTTGTTTGGTAGACCTATTTTCAAAAACAAAATTCAAGACTAACTAAAAAAATATAATCCATTATCTAAAAACACAAAAAGTGAGTTTTTAGAGTTTTTAAACTTAATTTACTCATTTCTTTTCTCTCCCTCCTCCCCTCTCACTCCAAATTTATCTCTCTTTTCTTCTTTCTCTCTCCCCCTTCTCCTTTTTTTTTTTACCTTTTTTGTTTCTCCTCAATCCGTTCTCTTCATTATTTCAGTTCTTTGTCTAACTCCTCTTTCTCTCTATCTCCTCTGATCCTCTCACTTCTTTATCTTTCCTCCAATTAACTCTTACTTTCTTTCCTCCTCTCTTCTCTTTCTCTCTCGACCCCCTCTTTTTAGATCTTTTTGTTTAGTTTAAGTTGTAAGATTTAAAATTTTTAAATCGCATACCAAATAAGTTTTTGAGTCTTAACTAAAATTGTTTTCAAGAAATGTTTTGAGAAATTATAAAAAATTTCAAATAGGATACCGAACAAGCCCTCAGATTGGGTGTTTTTTTTGTTTTTTTGTTTTTTTGTTTTGTTTAATTTAGAAAATAAAAAAAGAAGCTGAAAATAACAGTACAAAAAACATGCCATGTAGAAATCAAACTACTCAATCTTAAAGAAGAAAGTTCAAAGTTAGTTAACCAAATCTAAACATGACCATATATAATGATCTAACTAAATACAAACTTGATCATATATAATGATGACCTATGTTTGTAAAGTCAATCTACCGCCAGATTAATATGGTCAATACTGTACTAAGGAATCTTATATAAATTAATAGAGAAGAACTTGAATAGGATGAGTAAACTATCATGCTGCCTTCCATGTCAAAAAAAACAATGATATATAGATGAAAACTTATACTTGTCTCTACTTCATTAGCGTGGGAAGCCATCGTGACGGTGTAACCTGCCATGTATGCCCTCTTTATCTTGAATAATTGAGAGACTACGCCAAGCTATTTAGACTTTGTTGATTAACTGTTGGATCACTGCGTTTGAATATCTCCCTTCAAAATTAACATGATGAATCGTATGAGGTAGTCTTAAAGCAAATGTCTCAACCTTCAAAATAGAAAGGAAAACCAAGAGGAACGAACCAATTATCTAATGGTATGAACATTAGAATTTCCAATGATAAATTCAGAAGCAGCATAGCCATTAGGTCTAACATTCCTATCAAAGTTTATTTTTATATAGTTAATTTATTTGGAGAGGAGTCCACATCATATTGTTTAGAGTTTTTTTTTTTTGTTTTCCATTTTTTAAGTCCAACCATTTTCGAGTTGTTGGAAGCATTATCCACTGTAAGCCTCGAGCCAATCCCTTTGGTACAACCACTTTTAAAAAAACCATAAGCAGTTACTTGAACTACAATATTCATAGCCTTAACAACCACTACAGAAACCTCACCAAAACGCCTCTTAAAGCCCAAACTTTAATCAAATACAAAGGAGTTTCATGCATACTATCTCTTGCTAAACTTGTGGGTCCTTAGCTTTCAAACCACACGCCTTTGAAGCCAAGCCTAATATTTATGATTTAAGAGTATTTTCCATTCAAACTGTACAGAGGAGATCATAGCTAGATAGATCGTAGATGTTCCTTCATGTTGAGATACATTAGATAATACTTAATTAATTATACGAAACACGAAGACAATTTTGCTTATCATAACAACCAAATACAGTTTGCACATATTTACATACATAGGAATACTGGACTCTTTGACTTATGGCTGTACGCATTAAGTCTGCTTTGTTTTCGTGTGTACCTCAGTTAGATTTCAACCTATCCAAGTGATAAAATCTCTGCAAAACAAAGTATAATCAAACATGTAAAACACACACGTTAGCCAAAGAAGGAAAAAAAAAGCAGCAGCATTGGGTAAGCGTTGGGTTGTCAAATAGTTTACCAGAATCGAGTGGATTTGTTCCAGATAAGGCACAAGTAAGGAAACTAAGGTCTCTATTTCCAGCTTCAAGTCGTCATAGTTTTCATCTTTTGCCATGAGGCTACTAATGAATGTTTCATTGTCTGGCACTAGCATTAAAGCTACCTGCATACAGTATATTTGTTAGTACTCCAAGTAGAATTTGATGTTGCTCCATGTGATAACATAACTTATGTGCCATGGGTTTGTTAAATTTTAAGTTTCAACTATTCATGGTCCTTCTAAAAGAAACAAGCTTATACAGAAAAGAAAAAATTCTGTATATATCATGTGGCATGCATGGTCTCAGACTTGATACAAGACATCAACACGTCACGCGGTGTTAACATCCTTGTGTTGAACCTAATGAATAGCTAGATAAGTTGCTTAAGTTTGGGACAATAATAGTGGAATAAATAATGAATAGCTATATAGCTTTTGAAAAAAGAAGAGAATAATACTTTAGAAGCAGCTGATGAAATCCATCTATGCCATGGCTTCAAAGTAATGGTATAAGACTCTTCCACTGCCTGCTTCATATTTTTCCCGGGATCTCTTACTAAATTTTGCAATAAGGCCACTGTAAAATCTAGGGATCTGAATGTAGAACAAACCAATTAGTTTATAACGAAAATGAAGCATCTTATACAACAAGTAGTTGATACATCCAAGAAATATATAGTGCCAACTATGCACCTAAACAAGGGTTTAAGTACTATAAGGTTATTAGCATTAGCAATGAAAGCGAACTTTGATGGCATAAGTAAAGTCAAACTCAAAAATATAAAAGTGGGGCCGCTTGGTGAATTCTAAATAATTGATTACTTAAACAATTCGCCGCTTACTATTAAGGTCTAGTGATATTCTTCTTCACTTATAATAGATAGGTCTTAGGTTTGAATTTCGTGGATAGTGTGTTCACAACCAATTAATTCCCTCATCCCTTAATATAAATATATTGTTATATTAAAAAAAAAATAACCGTACAACTGAATGACATAAGTTTATTGAGGTTGTTTAGTTCCCGGGGTAGTTTGAGCATTGAGGCTGAGATAGTTTGTACTATTGTTAACTTTAAAGTTTGGAAGCGTTCGCGTAATTGATATAAACTTACTAAAAACAAGCAGAGAGCATGTTGAATGCGAAATATATGGATGCCACCTAAGCTATATAGACTAATCGTTATTTATTTCTAAAAGAAAAAGAACTAGCCAATATTTGTGTGTAATTATGAGCAGTTTGATAATAATTTTGTATTTAATTTTTAGTTTTAGTTTTTCTTTTTATGAAAACTAAGCTTGTTTGGTAATTGTTTTCGGTTAAAAAAAAAAACAAAAAACGAATATCCTCTTTTGTGAGTTTCTAAAAGTCGACATGATTTTCGTTTTCAGTTTTCATTTTGTTTAAAAACGAAAAGTAGTCACCAAAAAAGTTTTATTTATGTAAGAAGCTAATCGATGTTTGTGTTAAAATTAAGTTGATTTTGATTTACCTATCACTGAAAATCTAATGGCTAGTAGTAAAGTACAGATAAAATAAGGGTAAATTACATTTTGCACCCTCAAGTTTGGGTGCAATTACAACTTCTTACAACATCTTTAAAACATTTCAATTTCATACATTTACTATTATTTCATTTCAATTCCGTACAACTGTCTCAATTTCTATTAAATTTTCAGTTATCTGCTTATGTGGATCTACCTGGCCCCATATACATGTGACACGTGGATTAAAATTTAATAAAATAATTTTTAATTATAGAAAGGCTCTCTCATTCTTCTCCAACCCACCATTTCCTTACTCTTTCTCTTCTTCTCTTGCTCCAGATTTCAGGCTTTTAGGATTTTTTGGGATGTGGTTGATCTGCCTACCCTGCTGAAGTTGCTCAAACAACCTTGCTGCACCACCGCCCGCTGCCACTACTAGTGGCCAAATGGCCATAGACCCTCAAAGAAGACCAGGGGTCCAGGAGCACGAAATCATGAGCCAAGAAAAAAAGAAAATCAATAATTCAAAATAAAGGCATAGTTCTTGTTCTCTGCAAAGGGTTTAGGGTTGTGATTCTGCAGAAAAAATGAAAGGGGTTGTGATTCAAAATAAAGGGGCCCAATCCCAAATCGGAAACATCTTTGTTGTTGTTAACAGAGGAGTTCCAAGGGCTTGCTGTTCGCGATTCCACCATCAGGGGTGGGGGGAGTGGGTTGTGGTTTTGGTGGTGGAAGGGATGGGGCACAAACAAGGGGGAGCGGGTGCGGATGAATGGCGGACACTTGCTTGAGACAGCAAGTGGTGGCCAAGGATTTCCTTCTCCCCAACGGCTTAGATCTCAGCGCTGCGTCGAATTTGGAGTCTCTAAATTGGTTAGCTTAGCGATTTCAGTTTCCGGCGAAGATAATGGGGCTTTGGTCGGAGTGGTTAGGGAGAGAAGGGGGAGGAGGACGTTGTCGACTTTGCCGTGGGAAGTCAGGTCCAAGAAGGTGCTTTTCAATTCGATAGCTTGGGGTTTGAAAATCACTAAGCAGAGACTTGAGCTTTGTTCCATGAGGAACATTGGGTCATGGTGGTGGTCTGACATCGATGGGGAACGGCGATGGAGCCGTCATCTGGGTACGTTGGGTTGTCAGAAAGGAAGATGAAAAGTGGCTGCATCCACTGAGTTTGGGGCTGGAGATTTTCAGAGAGATAAGTGGGGTCATTTTGTTTAATTTAGTTTTTTTTAAATTGATTTGTAATATTCAATTGTTTTTATTTGTCAAGTCATAAAAATATATGAACTTTATATTTTCCACATCATCACTTAATAGTCAAATTAACGGTACTAACGGATGTATGAGATTGTAATTAAATGAGAAGTCAATGTATGTGAATGAAATGTTTTAAAGATATTGTATGAGGTTGTAATTGCACTCAAACATAGAGGGGTAAAATGTAATTTATCCTAAAATTAAATACAACTTATAAGTTTTGTTTATCACATAATAATCAGATAGGCAACTGCAGAGCAACACCATTCCACCAACCGTGGAATCCAAGATCGTCAGGTTGGGAAGACGGTAGGTAATACAACTTATATGAAGTAGTTCTATTTTTAAATACTTCAAGATTTTGTATCATAAAACTTCACATATACTGAATCACACGTGTATAAGTTGATCAGGACAATATTAATATTGATTATCAGTGAGTTAATTATTAGTCAACTCTCTAAAATCTGGGTAAGAACTATTAAATTTGGAATAAATAAGGGTCCATTTGGATTTATGATTTCAAATCTAGGGATTATATATATGACGTTATAAGATAATATTTTTTTTTTTTTTTAGATTATATAATCCATGGAGATTCTGACAAGAAGGAAATAAAGAACAAAAATGAATTTCAAAATGATTCCATTCGTACAGTCATTTTAAATACATTCTATATAATTTCAAATTTTGGGGTAACATGTAGCCTTATGGTTAAATTCAAACTATTTCTTTTAAATTCCTCCGTCCAAATGGAGAAGGTTCTCGGTGTAATAATATCATTCATGTCTCACATAGTCAAGGGTAAACACAGTAATTAAATATGTTTGTTTAATTACCTGGTGAAAAGCCAATTAAATAATTACCTGGTGAGCCAAACAAAGGCTCTACTACAACTGGTATCGTTTCTAGCAATGCCTTCTGTCGCCTCGTTTTTCAACATCTCAACCATATTTGAATACGTCAGAGGATCTGATTCATGTTTCGTTTCCAATCTCTACACACATAAGAATTGGTAAAATGGTTACTAAAAAAAGATAAATCAATCACTTGATTGATTAATTAGTCCAAATTGCCAATTAATTATGCAATGATATAATCGAGAGCAAATATTACATGAAAAGTCAAGGGGAGGTAGAGTGGACTTAAGAAAGAAAATTTCACATTGGAAATCCATTGCTATTGGATAATTAAGAATGCTTTATTCAGACACTTCAAGCATGTGAAGCATCTTGGTTTTCTTTGTAATTATTACTACATGAAGGTCCTAGAAGGAACAAAATCATGTTTTATTGCAATGGATATATAAGGACATTATTCTATACGTGTGTATAAATTGTGCGTAAATAGATACTGACTGAATACACTTACTAAAATACATATGCACATATATAATGCTAAGATTGGTTTTCTTTGTAATTATTACCCGAATATTTTGATGGACATCTTGGCTTAGAACAGCCATTGTTGGTCCTATTTTATCTGCAAAAGGGCAAAAACAACTGTAAGTGGTATTTGATTATGGCAGGTTGCGTGTGTGCGCACGCGTCTTTCAAAGCATCAAGGACAATCTCCATTGAAGTTATACTGAATGAGTATACATTCTCAAAGTTAAAGTAAACCCTAGAACCTAAAAGGGAGAGAACAAATATTCTTTGATCCGATGATACGAGAGAGAGAGAGAGAGAGAGACCAAGAACTTGAAGAATCAAGGTGCAGAGAGAAAGAAAAGGCCTGGTGGGAATATGGGCAGCCTCGTGAACATGATCACCACCACCATGTTCAGCCGCTGGGACCAGTATACCACCTTTAACTTTGACCATAACGGAGAGTTCTTCAATGGCACATCTAATCTCTGATCCCATATTCTGATCCATTAACTTCCTTTTCATTCTAATTAGGTTTTCTTGTTTCTAACTTCACAGTGGCTGCCGAAATCTAGGATTTATAGAGAGAGAGAGAGAGAGAGAGAGAGAGAGAGAGAGAGAGAGAGAGAGAGAGAGCGAGAGCTTCGAACTATATGTTTGCATCATTGTCCACGTACTCTTCTTGTTTAATTAGGACTTGGTGATGGGTCACGCCATATATGCCCCCCAATTATTTGTTAGTTAATTGTTACTGGATATAAACTAGTGCTGATGAACGCATGGCCAGCTTTCATTGATAGTTGTTACGATTAATTAATTAATTTATATATATATATATCCTATATTATCGGATGTATTTCTGTATTTAATTGTTCCCATTATATGGATACTCATTGATGGCGACCTTAATTTTGACCTATGACTTTGAAATAACATTTTATTCAGCGCTTAATCTTGTAGTTATCCTGTACCTTAAACCTATATATATATATATATATATATATATATAATCAAGTGATTCCTCAAATGAGCTTATGACTCTCTTATAGTGCTTATTCCAAATTATATTTTAACAGTCTAGCAATCTATTTTAAGTCCTCCCTCAACGATAACTTTTATAAAAAGAATTGCTAAAATCAGAAATCATATTGATTTAAATGGCGGTTATTTTAGTGGTTCTTAGTTGCATTATATTCGTCTATATTCTTCATTGCATTGGATATGTTAATGGTGTTGAATTTGTTTAATTTTTATGGTGATGATCATAGGGGATGCTCTGCAAGAAGGTAAATTGACCTTGTTTACTGCAAAACTAAAGAACAGATTGCATACATTTTTACAAAGGTTTTAGTAAGGGATTGATTTGAGTATATGAGGATGGCCTTGGAAGTGAAATCTACAAAACATTTAGAAGGGAGTGTTGATGTGTAAATGTATTTGGAGAATTAGTTTTAATGTTTTTATTCATTACTTATTTAGTTGTAATGAGTTATAACTCTTGACAAATGTAATCATTCTATAGGGTTGATCATTTGATTGGTCAGATGCAGGTGATGATGTAAGAGACAAAAGCTCACTCCTTCTCCAAGCTTGTAACAACGAAATATTTCCCCACGATTTGTGTGCGGTAATGCAATGAACATTCCTCTCTGATACCTCTCTTTGTACAACTTTGTTTCCCCTAAAATCCAAACAGTGAAAAATCACCATTCTCATTCTTATTTTCGGTGCAAAATTATAAGATCAAGCTCTAATTCTAACAATACATACGTAGCTATGTGTATGTGTGTGTTTTATAGCACCATATCCGACTGGTACCAGTTTAGGATTGTAGGGTTGAGGATTACACTCTCACTTTAGACTCTCAACTAGGGATTTCGACATTGTTGGGAAACTTAAATTAAGGCGGGTCTCTAAGGATCTGTTTGATACTCTACTTGAATCCAACTTTTTAAACTCAAAAACAATTTTCAAGTTTTAGGCCTTAAACACTTGTTTGGTATGACTATTTTTAAAAATTGAACTCAAGACTAACTCAAAAATATAATATACTCTTTAAAAACATAAAAAGTGAGTTTTTAGAGTTTTTAAACTTAAATTCACTCATTTCTTTTCTCTCCCTCCTCCCATCTCACTCCAAATCTATCTCTCTCTCTCTCTTTTCTTCTTTCTCTCTCCACCTTCTCTTTGTTTTTTACATTTTTCGTCTCTCCTCCAATCCGTTCTCTTCATTCTCTCGGTTCTTTCTCTCACTCCCCTTCCTTTCTATCTCCTCCAATCCTCTCTATTCTTTCTCTTTCCTACAATCATGTCTTACTTTCTTTCCTCCTCTTTCCTCTTTCTCCCTCTCCTGCAACCCTCTTATTTTAGATCTCTTTGTACAGTTTAAGTTGTAAGATTTAAAATTTTTAAATCGCAAACTAATCAAATTTTTGAGTCTTAAAGAAAATTGTTTTCAAGAAATGTTCTTAACAAATGTTTTGAGAAATGATAAAAAAAAAAAATTCAAATTGGATACCAAACGGGTCCTAATTTTTGTTTATCGCATTATGAACACCCGTGGATAAGGACAAATATATATGAACCATTCCAAACAGCCAAAAAAAATAGTTAAATTTGGAGAAATAAAATTTCTAATTATTTGAGGCAGTACTCATCAACCACAGATAATGCCTCCCCCTCCTGCTGCTGAACTAAAACTTCGCGGGTTGTTGGACTATTTGCTAGCTGGTTTTGTAAGCAGCAGGCTGCGTATATTGCTCTGCGTATCATTATCATGTCAATTCTTTCTGGAAGCTTCCCGCGTTATAGCATTATTTAAACTGCCAAGTCCTTTTGGTTTTGGGTAGCAATGGAATGGAATCAACCCTACGCTAGCATTTGACAATTAAGATAATCTAATATTAACTGTTTGGATTAAACATAGACCGTTGGGCCTGCCCAATGTCCAATACACTGAAGTTTGTCTGAAAGCATAATGGGTATTTAATTTGGGCAGCAAATGAACCATGCATGACCCAAAATTTATTAGTGCTTTATAAAGTGGCAATCCTGGGCGTCAAAACCCTCTTTCACATAGAAGAAAGAATGCTCGGTTGAGTTTCACAGAGAAAAAAGTACTCATAATTTCAAGGGGATAACTGTGGAAAGTTGAAAGGTAAAAGACAGGTTGTCCCACATCGGTGAAGGATAAAGTTTGTTATGGGCTTATATGATCTTGGGCTATTTTCCATATTCCTAATTGGCTTTATGGTGGAACCCCAATTTCATCATGGTATCAGAGGTTGTTCCTTGTGTGAAAACCCAAGGGCCACACATGTTCACGCGTCACCCAGTTGTTGTCCACATGTAGGCTTGAAAATCGACCACACATGCGGGGGCGTGTTGAAAGTTGAAATGTAAGAGACAAGTTGTCTCACATCGGTGAGGGACAAAGTTTGCCATGGGCTTTCACCCTAATTTCATTATAACTTGGGAATCCCATATATATTATGACCTGAATCAAATCGATTCTTTTTTGAATTTCTATACGTGCAATTCCCTCTACATTAGAGGATATTTTCATATTATTTTGCACATAATTTTATACAATCTCAAGAGCAGTAGATAAGCAGGCGAAAGAACTCGAAAACTACTTCGTCAGATCGTCCTGAAGAAATATAGGACTTTGTTTCCCCGGTCGATGCATTGACAAGGAGCCATATGAGTGAAAGTCTCATATACGTTTATGTAAAGTGGCATTAAGGGTGACTTATTTGTTAGCTTTTCCACTATCACCCTCAAAAAACCAAACTCTACCTTATATAAGAGAAACAACTCAAAACTAGCTTGATAATGTCCTCCTTACAACTATTCTAGCGGGAAACACCAATTTCTTTCTTCGGAGCCATTTCTTTTCCTGACACCCTACCCCAGCATGGCATAACGCTTCCCTTTCGGTTATTTGGAAGAGTCAACTAACTTCTTCCCAAACCTACTAGAGGTCGATTTCTTAAGGAGCCGAGGCGGTGAAGTTCAGCCAATCCATCCTATCTTGGATTCCTTATTTAAGCCCAAAAGGCTTAGCAGGTCAAGTGCGACTGTGTTAACTTCAGGGGGCTAGAAATAAAGAGTATAGTGGAAAGTTTCAGTTTCTGACAGCACAGTTGATGGAGCCGACTGACGGAGCTACAGGTTAAGGTTTATTGAATTCGAATGAGAGGTTCACCACCACAACATTGCATGCAAGGGGAGCTTACTCAATTCGCAAATTGGTCTGACTCGTAACTCGCTTCTAACCTCATATTCGATAGCCCAACCGTAGTGACGTTGGAATGTAAAATCAATTTCGTCACAAATGTTTTCAATCATTTTAAAAATACTTTCAAATAAGCCATTAATTACCTCTATAGCGAAAAATTACGATGTAATGTGATCCTTAATTAAGTTTATGAGAGAGATCCGCCCAAAAAAAAGCTTCCCTAAAATGTAATAGGGGTGAATGTATACTTTTGCAAACACGTTGGAAAAGTGTACGAAGAAAAGTATTGGGGCGATTCGAAACCAACATGAATTTTTCATTCATGTGGTTCCACATAACAAAACAGATTGATGGCGTTTAAGAAAATTGTGGGTGGTGTAGTAATACTGGACACAATTTGAGGACCAAAGCAACTATTAGTGTTCAACACGCTCTTTCTCTGGATGTTTCAAATCTAACGTATATGTGGCAACACAAATAATCTAACGTATATGTGGCAACACAAATAAGGTGACGTACAATACGTTGTTAAATTTCAGTGCTCTGATACCATGAAGAAAATTAAAATTCTACCATAAATCAATTAACAATACAAAAAGTAACCCAATTTACTTATAAGCTTTCACTCTTACCGCCTTGAACCAGTGTTGGAAAATCATTATTATGTGGAACCGCATGGATGACAAATCCATTTTGGTTTTGTCTAAACATAATAATATTGTATGTGCCAGTACTTGCACAAACTTGTCAAATAAACATTCCTTGGAAACTAAGATTTCTACTTTTGTTCTTATTATATTCTCTTTTTTTCTCATAAATAAAATAAAAAGAGTCTTAACGCAACACACTTGATACTGTTCACTGATAATATATTTACTCTAAAAAGTCACTCCTAATACTATTCATTTACAACACATTTTTATTCTTTTAGTTAAAACTTAAAGTATCAATCATTGACCAAGTACTGCGCAGGAGGAGACTCTTTTGTCCTACGAATTGGTCAAAAAAATAAAATAAAACCCCATACATAGCCAGCCCTTTGCATATATAGAAGTGCTTGTATACTATGCCTGGTTGTTTAAGTCAATATCAACTTGTTTTTAAAGTTATTGTCATCTATCAAGTTTGAATTCGTAACCTTTTTGTGGCTAATTAATAAAGTGGAGATCACTAATTCCTTTGGACCAAATTATCATAATTAAGATCATGATCTTCTTTTTACACAAATTGTCTCTGGGATAGTCGAAAGATAATACATGTATGAGATAATTAAAGAAAATTAGGATTTAACCTACAAGAGATATTTTTGTCGAATGTATATTACAATCCAAG